CCTTTGTGTCACGCCCAAATCCATTTGCACTGTAAAAGTGGAGTTTTAATAAAACTGATGCGTGAAGAAAATGACATTCCGAAAATTTATATGTTGACATATTCGTTTAGGGAGAACCCGAAAGTTAAAGAAAAACTCTTTTCCTCATTTACAAAAATCTGTTTATATGCAAGCAAGTTTTCAACTTTGCTGGGTATCAAGTCATAATCAACGTTAGATGTAAGAACTGATTAAGATGCTTCAATACAGAAAGTGGTGGCACAGTGCCTAAGAAGTTGTGTTCGAACCCTGAAGGTGTCGAGTTCGATTTCGGCGGATGGCAACCAAGAATACATTTGCGCAAAGAATTTAAACAGGGACGGCTTAGTCGGTAGAACGTCGGACTCAGAACAAAAAAATCCCGAGTTCGTGTTTCCACTGGAATCACTCAACTTCTTCTTTCCGCGACTGACAAATGAGTATCACTTTGTGGGAACGAAACAAGAGATTACACACTCTGTGTCTCACGTAGCTGAAGTCGATTCTGCCTTTAAAATAAGGCACTCCTTCCTGATGGCATGGCAAAGGAGATCAGCACCCAACCATGAACTTAATAAAAGGGGAGCCAAAATGGTTTAATCATGAAAGTGTTAAGAAAGACCGACGTTCCAACGGTTACAACCATTTTTTCCTACCTTGCAGATGGCCATTCCAAATTGCATTTTTAGATTTAGGAAACGCATCAATTTTGCGCACACTAAATATTTTGTCAGCTTATTCTAACTAAACTGCATGGCAGACTGATTTGAATTTCTAGCTGTCTAAGTTTTAATCGTGAATCTTCGACATATGACAAGTGGAACGTATTTTAACGACTTCTAAATTGGGAAGTTTCGAAAGAACTGCCTTACACAGTACACGGTGTGGCCCAATTAAAAACTTTGTTGTATGGAGCTTGTTAAGTTTACCATGACCTAGGTGATAGGCATTTCATTACCTATTTCGTAGTTTAAATTTAGGATTTTCTGGTGACATCTTCAGCCTTTCGAGAGGGGATAAAGTCATACAAAAAACTGAATCACTGTTACACGAAGTAGACTTAAACAAACTTATCGGTTAATGCCCTGCACTAAACAGCTAAAAATATAACAATTCGGTCATGGGTTGCCGAAAGGAAGTAGGAAAGCCCCTTAACGCTTAACCGCGGACTTAAACAAAAAGACATGCACGTTACTGAATAACTAACTTACCCACGTGCAGAAGCAGCCGATACCTAATGATGAAAACTATCAGAAAATGAAAAACATGACACTATCTCGCACCGCCAAAGGTAATTGTTAACTTCTACGAGTCTTTATAGGTCATAAGCGAATATATAAAGCTAAAATAAATTACCAGTTGAATTCATGCCATTGTGATATGTGGTTTTTGCAGTGAACTATTCAATTCTGAAGACTTTATACGTCTGAGTTAGCTCGAGAGTTCATAACAAATACCTTAAACGAGAAAGCAGACAGACGATCACAAAAAGTTGAAATTAAGTTATAAGCATTTCACAAGAGCTAGCATAGCTTCTGTGAACGATTAAGAAGTGTACCTGATCTCCGTGTGCATGTCTACCAATTACGATGGGCTGTTTCCATCCGGGCACCAGTCGCGGTATATTGTTACACAAAATAGGCTCCCTAAAGACGGTTCCTCCAAGTATGTTTCGAATAGTACCGTTCGGACTAGGCCACATCGTCTTTAAATGGAATTCTAAACAGCAACACTACCGCAGTAGCTTTAACGGTCGCCATACCTTTAACCCGAGCTTCATCGGGCGTTATAGTAGCGCACTTGATCCCAACGTTAAACTTCTTGATCGCTTCGGCAGCTTCGACAGTCACTTTGTCATCCGTCAAGTCGCGATTCGGTAGACTCAGATCAAAATGCTGGCAGTTGAGGTCCAGGTACGGAAAAATCAGCTAAAATCGTTCGTTTCCGTCGTACACTAACTATGAAAATCGCTAACCTTCTCCTTGATATACGCCCATATAACGCGCGTCATTTCGTCGCCGTCCATCTCCACAACAGGGTTTTGCACCTTGATCTTTGGATACGCTGAAAGCATACATGTCGGCGTTTACTCGGCCAAAACAGTAAAGCCATAAGCACAACTTACTCGAAACCGACTTCATCGTCGCCTTCGTCATCTGTGTACTACCAACACGACCAAACAGCCGGTAAAGTGATGAATAACTCATTTTTACTCTAAAACAACTGCACTGTAAAAATCGAATTAGAATAGGCCGGTTAGTGATGTCGCGAAGGAAAAACCGTTCGACTTTATGATGACAAACGGGCGAATGCTGTGACATTCCTCCGTCATCCGGTTTTAGGTTTGCCTGTGTTTTGAAACTGTAAGACGGGAAAAGGTATAATGATTTTACACTTACAAAAATAAAAAAAGAAATTTATACGATTACAGTTACGAGGGAATAACTGTCAATAATTTATCCCTAACTTATTCTGTCCCAGTTAGGATCACTCAACCGAAAGGCACGCTGACGTTAGCTACACTCAAATCTCAATAGATCGTCTCATATGTACAAAAGATTCGCAATTAACAGTGCATGAAGATTTTATTCCGTGATTACCTTTTCGCAGGACATGATTCAACTAGATGAAAACCGTACTAGCGGGAGAACAAAAGTATCGCTTCTACCAACAAACAGCAGCTTACTTGACTGCAACACAAATGACACGAGGACACGCCAACCGAATAGATTCTCAGGTTGTTCACCGAGTCACCAGCTCCATGATAATATGCACCAACTGCGCATGATGACGATATGCACAGTCTACTGTGCGCTTGCAGGTTTTCGTACCGTTACGATATAAAGCAGCAGTTTGATAAACACGAAAACAACAGTTGACCTTACGACAGCATTCGTTGCACTACAACCAATGTTAAAATAAACTAGTTAAAGGTCAAAAACTAAAACTACTGTTCGACAACTGTCTTACATTTTACAAAAATTATGTAGTAGCACACTTAGGACACACGTCATTAACTTTGACAAACTCAAGAACTCACTGACGCAGAACAACAAAATCACTGACTCGCATGCAGCAATTAAATGTCAACAATGAAATTAGCTTACGGTAGGTCGCAGCATTGTATAAAGAATGATTCACGTAGAGGGAATCAGTTACTTTATAATATATCTCGAAATCATAATTTCTAACGCTGATAAATGCGAAAGATAGGAAAGAACCGATGCTTCCGCTGGTCACATGCTAACACTTTTCTACTAAAATTAATTGTTTAACCAGTTAAAATAGCTAACGTTGTCGCTACGATTAGCATACCTTGAAGCGAGTCCAAAGTGATGAGAGCGATTTTGAAACCCAGCTCAATCTGACAACCGAATTAACGAACTAAATTTAACTTAGCTGATTGTGAAAAAATCTTGTTCTACGCAAAGGATAGCACTCTTTCGTCGGAAACTACCGAACCGGCTACAAGAAACGATAGTTCACCTCAAAGCTCTAATCAAATCTTCTGCTGCAGATGATTCGAAAAATCAGCTAATTTCGTCAACTGATTTACTGTGTTTAGTGAGACACAGGCAGAAACCATGCAATCGGTCGATCATTTGATATTTTCCGCTGCTTATTAATAGATGGATTTTATAGCTCTCTTAATGTGACTATCAACGTATGAGTCAAATATTCCATCGTCTGAGTCTTCCTCATTAGTAACAGAAATCTCTAAAGCGCAGTGGTGGGAATCCATAGGTTTCATCCGAAACGATAAAAAGTCATTTTTAAACAGGCTTGTGAATTACAAGCAGTAGATGGTTTTAAAAGTTTCACGGGAACTTTCGGACTGCTTTTGGAAAACAACGTAAAAACCTTACTGCATCAAATTGCTTTTAATTTGCTTGCTTAAAGGGGGTTTGTCTGAATTAAGGGAGCACGTGGCCACTGTTGAATTTGGAACAGGATTCGTAACTAATCTGTCTACTTGTGGCGAGCCGCCTATGAGTGGAGTTAAAACACAATGATTCTGTCCTCCCGCTGCCGATGTCGTTGTTTTCCTTGATGACGGTGTCACAACAGTATGGTGATGATTTTGTAATATAAGTTCAAATGGCATATATTCACTAGAATATAATGGCATATAGTTAATGACAAAAATTTAATCATGTTATAGGAAGCTGCTGTGATCCTATAAGCTTCTTCCTGCCGGTTAATCGGGAATTTTATCTGTTCCACCGTGACTGTGCTATGATTACCATTATCTTTTGCAGCATGCATAGCTTAGATTTGTGAGAAACCCGTTTTGTGCCGACAGCTGAATAACGGATAAATTAAATTAGTTGTTTTAGAATTTACGTTTACACGGTTACTGATTTTTAGTCCACTAAGAGCTGGATCAAGTCAATCTGTAGCCGCAAAACACATCAAACAGCATGGCCGTAAAACTGGGGCACTTTGGCATGACCGCACCAAGACACCATGCTAACCGTATTATTCACAGATCAACCAACTGTTACGCTTTTTTCGGCTGGTTGCACCAACGCACAATAGAGAAATTTCCTTGCTCAAGGGAATTAGCAGTTTATAACAGCAAATTTACGCAGCGCGTTACTTTTCACCCCGGACTATAACGCATGGAGCCAAGAACCAAATGTGCCATTGTTTGAACGAATTAGTCTTTAATTTACGGATAAATGTTATTTAGAATCGGTACTTTTGTAATCTAGAGTCTCGGCTATGTGGTGCGGACAAAATGAAAGTAAGGTGTCGTGCAACAGAAACAGCCACGATGTACGTAATCCATGGTAACAATGAACGCATATTGCGAATCCTGAGATAGTCAGCTAACGAGGTAACAGAGTCTAATAAAAATTGCTTCAAAGCAACTTTACCTAGCAGGAAACCTAGTTTGCGGTTAATACGTTGCTCAAAGAAATTTGCGGTTGAAACATGCATTGTCTCTTGAGCGAATTCAAACCTGGAACATTTTATGCGCTATGCCATAACTTTCCTACAATTGCACATCAACAACGTAAGAAGATGTCAACGAACTTTAATATTGATTTTACATTTACTTTTCATTCCCGCCTCCTTTCATGTTTATAATTGTCTATTTATTGCTGATAAATATGGCAGTAATGTGTCGTAACACTTGACGCCGACGATTACTTGAAACAATCCTTAATTTTCCTTTATTACAGAATTTCTGCCACAATGGAGTTTCTGCTCCAATTATAGGGGCATAACGTTACTGAGCCTCCCAGGTAAAGTCTACGCAAAGGTGTTAGAAGGGAGGTGCAGTGAAATAGTTGAACTCAAGATCCAAGAAGAGCAGTGCGGCTTCCGGACCGGTCGAAGCATCTCTGACTATATATTTGCCCTGTGCCAGATTGTTGAGAAATCGTGGGAGTACGCCCAGCCGGTGTGCATGTGTTTTGTGGACCTAGATAAAGCGTATGATCGGATCGTACGCAACAGTCTGTGGACATGCCTTCGTGCACACGGGATTGATGGCCTGCTGCTAAGGGCCGTCCAAACACTGTATTCTGATAGCAAGTGCTGCGTTAGAGTTAATGGCGTTAAGTCGAACCATTCAACGGTGGCACTGATCTCCGCGAAGGCCGCGTCCTCTCCTTCTCTTGTTTGTGTTTTACATGGATAGAACAGTCAGGAGCTGCCAAGGCGATGAGGATATTGATGTAGGAGATGTGAAGTCGAGAAGGTTTCTGTTTGATTTTTGTTTGCTTTCACGTTCTCTTGTCCGTTGCTCTTTTCAGATTAACGGAGAGGCAGTGAAGCAGGTAGAAAAGGGGCAAGTCCCTCGGAACTGTATTTACTGGAAAATTGGAGGAAGAGATCGACCGGCGAATTGAAGTAGCCCATGGCGTTTTGTGTGAACTAGCCCGACCCATTGTGACTAAAGCAGAGCTCAGATTGAAAACTAAACTCTCGGTGTTCAAGTCGATCTTTATCCCCATGCTTACCTACGGTCATGAATCGTGGACCATCACTGAAAAACTTCGAATCCGGGGACAAGCTGCTGAAATGGGCTTTCTTAGACGAGTCGCTGGCCTTACGCGTCTCGACATGGTTCGGAATACTGATGTCCGGAAGAACCTTGGTATACGCCTTTGTTTTTCCAGATTGAGAAGTCACAACTGCGACGCCTTTTGCATGTGTTGCGAATGTTTGCAGAAAGGAAGGCTAAGCAACTGTTCCTTGCAAATCTGACCGGCAGAAGGTCTAGGGGACGGCCAAGATTAACTTGGTGCAAATATATGGAAGGAGTCTGTTCCAGACTCCATTTGTTTTTTGCCAAAGCTCAGACTCTGGAACAAGATCAGGTACGTCGGAAACGCTGTCTGACGTGTCTGCCTCCGCGACCCGAAAGGAGAAGCGGCGAAGGAAGATGAAGATGGTGTTTCAGTATGGACCAAAGCCAGAAGCACTACATTTATTTGAAACAAGGAAGATGGAAAAATCATTTCTTCCACGGCGGTATAACCTCTGACTACTATCTGATAAATGTGCCTGAATTTACTTTGATTTTGGTTATTTAGTATAGCTGCATGCCGAAGTCATCAACTCGCACCTACGTTACTAAGAAAAATCAAACACTAAAGCATTGAACACCATACGATGAATAAAGTAGTGTGACTACACATTCGAATGAAAGGACCGTTGCTGTTTGTTTCCGAAGAGAACTTGATGAATCCTTGAAATGCTGCCTCATGAGACGTATAGCTGGATAGAAAACGAAACGCTTATGACAGTGTGTACGCTGTGTACGCCTGGTATGATACGCGTGAGACGCGTCAACAATTACTCTATGTGTCATAACCAGGAAGCTGCTACTGAATAAAGAAGCAAAACCCTGCAGCTCTTATCAGGGCAAATGAGACAAAGGTTGCGAAACGAGATTTAAAACTATTCCGACTGATACGTTAGTCAAAGATTCATGCCATTCTTTATTTTCGAAAAGGTCATAGAGCATACATTTACCTCGGTACAGGAACTTAGCCACAGCTTTAGCCATCTTCACAGCTGCATTTACGTTA